TTGATAAGCAAATATGAGTTATCAATTATCAAAAAATATTTATATGTTAAATTTTCAAAATTAAAATCCTTAAAAGTTTCCATTGGTGGATTTTTGGCAGAGGAAATTAGTTGTATAATAAAGACGGAAATTTTTAGTGAAAACATTTTGATAATTGCTAATAAATAAAAATTCCTTCTTAAAATTAATTTCTATTCATTAATACAGCCTTTCAAAGTTTCATTGTCAACAGTATTTTAGCAATTGTTCCAAAATAAAATTTAATAATTGTCACATGTCGCCAAAATCAAACAAAATTTTTTTTTTTTATAGTATAACAACGATATTGACACAAAATTTTCAAATAAATTCTTTTTCCTTTTTTTTTTTTTGGGAGTGGAGAGTTTTAAATTATTGCAAATAAGTATGCCATCAGAATGGGACTACTCATTAATTTTCGATTATTTCATTACTTTTCAAAAATTCGAAATGTAATTCATGAAGAATAACGAGATGTTTGTTCATTTGATATAAATCTTTAAGTACCAAATAATCATTTTAGTTCCAATTTTTTTTTTTTTTGTTTGAACTTTTCTATCGTTTTTTTTAAAAGCATTCTTTTTTCAGAGAAAAAAAGAAACGAATTAACGATAACATTATTTCAATATTTATTTTTGTACATTTTCTTCTTTTAAACATTTAACAATCCATTTTGTTTTAGAATAAATAACATGGAAAAGAAAGAAAGAAATTTGATTAAACATAGATGAAATATAGGAAAAAACGAAAGTATAAACAATGAAAATATCATTAGTCTTTTTTTCTTTTTCTTTTTTATTTACTAAAAAAAAATTTTGAAAAACTTTTATTCCTTTTGTTTTTTGTTTAACGATGGATAAATGCATACGAAATTTGACTCTCATTTGTCTTCTTTCTCTTTTTTTCTTTTCCCATTAAACTTGCTGTGAATTCAGTAAAATTTTAAAAGTTATAATTAATGAATGGAATAGTCAATGAATGGTATAATTAATAAATCGCATAAGTAACAAAAAAAATAATCAATGAACGGTATAATTAATAAATGGTATAATTAACGAATGGAATAATCAATAAATGGTATAATTAATAAATGATATAATTAATGAGAAGTATAATTGGATCATCTACGAAATTTCTGCAGCCAATAATCTTTTCCTCCAATTTCAAATTTGAATTTTTCGTTTGTAATGATTTATGGTATATTTCGTTAATATTTTTTGATTCACAGTATATTTCATAACAGCTTTCCAACTCATAGTTTCTATTTTTTTTTTTATTTAATAATTGGAATCGAAAAAGAAAACGTTCATTTAAGCTGTACAAATTTAATTCCAAAAATTTTGGTGTAAAAATTGTAGGAAAAATTAATAGTAATAAGCAATAAATGATACATTATGCGGTATAAAATTATAAGTAATAAATGATATATTACACGGTATAAATGAATGATACATATGATATATAAATGATATATAAATGAATGATATAAAGTACACATTTCTAAATAATTTTATTAAAATTTGATTACTTTATATTTTTGGAAATCTTATGAATGCTAAATATATAATAAAAGTTACTGAATAATTTGGTTATACTTTTTCATTCAAATTGAAAAGAAAAACGGAAGTAAAAAACTAAAAAAGAAAAATTCAATTTTCAAAAATTCAATTTTATTTATAAAAATTAGTTGAATTTCTTTATTAAAGCTATAATATTAATTGATTTTCCATAATGTCCAATTTTTAAACTATTTTAATTTAAATTATTTTATAATTCAAAATAATATAATTCAATAAAAGTATAATTCGAAGACTTAAACATATGAATGAAGAATGAGTTAATGAAAAGAAAATTATCAGTTAATGTAATTGATAACTGGATCAATTTTCATTGTAAAATTTAATTAGCGCCATTCTGCAAATACTTCTCATCCGATATACAATAGGTTTATCATCTAGTTGAGGCAAATTCAAATTTGGTAATCATATAGTTATGATTGTTGCAAGTTTACTATCGGTGATAACAGATATCGGCTGAGAAAGGTTATTGCAAAGGTCAAATGATTCATTTTTGTGCTGTCATATGAAACTGGTATTCAGCAACGATATACTGAATTAAGTGTTAAATATGCTTAATATAGCTTCTTTCATCAAGCGTGTTTGTTATGGTTATCGATCGGAAATAGAGATCTCGGAGTGAATTTGTCGGGTTATCGGGTCACTGGAGCATATAAGGGCAGGGAAGATGAAGAAGGAAGAAGACGGGGAAGAAATGTATGTGTATAATAGGTTGTTTTGAGCATTTTTATCAGCTAAATTTCCTGTCATCTTGAATTATTTTCATTCTTTTCATCATTGACTTTTTGTTAATTTTACGATTTTGTCACATGCAAAATAACCGTTTCAAACACTTTTTTATTTTCTTTTTCATTTTGATAGTAAATTTTACTTTACTTTTTCAATAGTAACTTTTACTTATCCAGAATAGTAAGAGTAAATTTATTAGTCTAACCCTTTATATATTTTGGGGAAAAGTAAATTTGTTAATCTAACCCTTTATATATTTTGAGCAAAAGTAAATATTATTGAATTCAAATGCACTCTCATAAAAATTTTATCTGTAAAAATGAAATGCAGCTTGTTGCATAAATTAAACCCACAAATTACTCTTTGGATAATCTGGGTTATTTTTTTTTTTAATAATTTTGATGAAAATGTTTGGCAGTTTGTAATACTATCGAATTTTAATGTTTTGGATTTAAGAATAGATGAAAAGGTACGGATAACTTGATCATCTTTCAATTTCAAGATGTCGTAAATTCTTAATTTAAGTGTCGAAATATCATTAATTCTATAAATTCCAATAATCTTAATCTATCACCAAATATAGATAAAAACTGAGGAAATGGCAAATTGGCGGATTTGGTAGTGCAATAAAGATCGTAGATAAATCAATTAATTGAAGAAAATAAAAACAATGAAATATTTATGATAGATTAAAATTTAATGCATTTTGTAGAAAAATAACAATAAGAGAATATATTCATTTTTTTCTTTCACTCTCAATCTTTTCTTGTCTTTTCAATTAGCAATATCTCTTCCGTTCTTAATTTCTGTTATACCTAAAGTATTGTTAATGCTAACAAAATTCTTTTACTTTCTTATACCATTGTTTACGTAATAAAAATTCCTTTACAAATTACTCTTACCCTTTCTTTCTTCCTACCTCAAAGTTATTTCATTTCATCTTTTACTCCTAATCTTTAGCTAATGCTTTTTTCACATATCATCAATCTTTAATTCTCATTCATACGTACAATATTTCTTAGTGTCGCGATGATTCATGGAATGTTATATTTGAGAGTTATTGGGCTTTTTTTTTCTCTTCGTCTTAATAAGCACTATTAGAATCGATCAGTTGTCAATCACTAATGGAATCAGTCAATCACTTCGATCGAATTTCATTTTGAAATCTAATTTCTATTTAATTCATTTCAATCCATTTTCATTTCATGTATCGTTCATTTGTAATTTCTCCCCCTTGCATCCATTCACTTTTATTCATGTGTTTCTCTCTCTCTCTCGTTGTTTCCTTGTCTCTCTTACCTTCTCTGTTTTAATACATCTATATATTAACGGAATTTTGTAGGAAAAAATTTAGCATGTATGATAAGTTCACATCTGTAGCATCCAATGTAGCAGTAGTTAACTAATTAACATAATTACTTAAATTAGTAAATACTCGGCGGTTTTTCCTATGCTTCAACTGCAAATTTCATTTCGTTATCACTTTATAATTATAATTGTGATTTTATTTTCATTATTTCATGTTTTTGACAGTTTT